CATTAGTCTCCTCTTCTGCATGACTCCACAAATAAAAATCAATTGATATGTACATAGTCTGAGAATTTGGTGAAGCTAAAACTTATGGGCCTGAATAAAAAATTAGAATGGAAATTAGAGACATCATGCTAATAGCCTGAGCTATCCAATGATAATTCTACACACTCTCTGGGCTTGCAAAGCATATCATATACACATCCCCCTAATACAGAGTATGGTTTGGGGTCTCAATGCCTAAAACTAATGGCCTTTAATGCAAACTAAACACTCCTATAATGAGTGCCATGAAATCCCAGCTCACTCAGCTGACCCTCTCTGACCACTTGGTCATAAGCCTATTTCCTTTGCTTTAGTGCATTTCTAAGGTATCAGCTCACTTTTGTGTCCTGAAATACTTGAATATTTTCATATAATTCTCCCTTTTTTGATGGACAGACTTCTTTTCTATCATATTTAATGTAATTTCCAGAGATAGGTTGTTCATAGTTATGTTAATGAGATTTAGGTTTGTTTCTTTTTGCAAAATAACTTTGTAGACCAGCGTTGTGTCATTCAAAGCCAAAAGAATTATAATCATCTAACAAAAATTCAATCATTCGATTCTAAACTCTCTTGAGAAACAGGCCAGGATGTGTCTAGTTATTTTAGTAACAGTTCACATGTTCCTATCTAGTTATTACCTTTAATTTTGTTATTAATTTGCATCATAACTGACAAATTGGTTAATTGTCTTGATGCCTAGAATTATGAAGTATCAAAAGCCAGGTATTAGCTGGGATTCATTAAAGAGCAAAGATTCATACTTCATGCGAATAACACGATCATTTGTAGAATCCTCCTTTTAAAAAAAAATGTATCTCTACTACTGTGCACATTGTGTCCCAGATAATGCCCAGGACAACAAACTTTTTAGGTGAACACTTATTTACATCCATACCCTCGATCTATAAGAGAACATGCAATTAATATCTGACATTTTTATTGAAATAGAGTTGACACACAATGTTATGTTAGTTCAGGTGTCCAACATAGTGATCTGACAAATCTACATTTTCTGCTCTGCTCACCACAAGTGTAGCTACCATCTGTCACCACACAGCGCTACTACAATACCATCAACTATATTCCCTGTGCTGGACCTTCATCCCCATGGCTTATTCATTCCATAACTGGAAGCCTGTACCTCCCACTCCCCTTCACCCATTTTACCCACCCCACATCGTCCTCTCCTCTGGCAACCATCAGTTTGCTCTCTCTGATTTATTTCACTTAGCATAATATCCTCTAGGTCCATTTATGTTGCTGCAAATAGCAAGATCTCATCCTTTTTTATGGCTGTGTAATATTCGTGTGTGTGTGTGTGTGTGTGTGTGTGTGTGTGTGTATACACACCACTTCTTTATTCATTCATCTCTCGATGAACACTTAGGTTGCTTCCATATCTTGGCTATTGTAAGTAATATATTGTACTTATATCTTTTCTAATAAGTGTGTTTTCTTTGGGTAAGTACCCAGTAGTAGAATTACTGGATCATATGACAATTCTGTTTTTCAGTTTCTTGAGGAACCTCCATTCTGTTTCCCATAGTGGCTGCACCAATTTACATTTCCACCAGCAGCGCACCTTTCCCACCTTTTTCTCCACATCCTCACCAACACCTGTTGTTTCTTGTGTTTTTTATTCTAGCCATTCTGACAGGTGTGAGGGGTTAGCTCATTGTGGTTTTGATTTTCATTTCCCTGATGATGAGTGATGTTGAGCATCTCTTCATAATATCTGACTTTTAAATCTTCACACAGTTGATCCCAAAACATTGATGAATTGTTTAATTATAAAGTAACTTTACTTCAAGGCTGTGTAAAACAATAGAGCCTAAGAAGGACTCTGCACCCTTATCTGAAACCTGCCAGTAATTTGTTTTCCCACCTTCAATTTTCTTAACCCTGTGGATCTCAAACTCTCTTGGGAATCAGAATTATCTGGAGAACTTAGTAAATATACAAATGCCCTGGGCCCATCCCACTTCTATAGGCCTGGTCTCTGTGTTCTTTAGTAATACCCCAGGTAATTGTCACTCACCAAAGTTTGGGAATCACTGGCTTAATCTTTTAAGATTTCAATCTCTTTACAAAGACATACTTCATTGGTTTGAGTTTGGGGAGAACCAAGGGATACAAGCATTAGACAAAGAAATATCAGGATACCCCTGAAAACCAGTACTGCCAAGTAAACACATGTAGAGGTAACTTACACTTCTCACCAACAACAGCATCCTCCGGAGGCAGAATTTAAGGGGCTCAGTATAGTGGGTATCTTATCCCTCCTTGGGAATCGAATAGGAATTGTATGTGTCTCCCTCTTCTTGGAAGGATAAGAATCAAGAATCCTCTTTAAATAAAATCCGCCTGAGCTTTCCCATGACCCAGCCAAGACTTCTCAGTCCCTGGGTTTCCCAGCAGTGCCCCAACCAATAAACCTACCAATCAGGCGGCTGAATATCATTATCATGAATGGAATTACAGACCGTAATTACGAGCCTGTAAATGCCTCCTGTGGATTAAGCCCTTTCCCCCAAACCATCTCAACTTCTTTTCTTAGGAAAATGGAAAGAAATCCTATCCCTTGCCTCACCCCAAACATAACCTCCCTTGCTTAGAAGAAATACCTGCTCTTACTGGCTCAGGGGACATGCTGAGCAAGCTTTAATAGGCTGTGCTTTAAGGAGGAATGTCCCCTTGGGTGGAGTCCCTTTCAGCATCTCTCATCCAAGCATGGCCACGAGCTTCTTTCGCTGGAGAGAAGTGACTATCCACTTTGGGGATATTTCTTAATTTCTGCTTGATCAAGGAAGTTAATACCAAATTTTAAGAATTTCTGCAGAAAAAATCAAATGTTGGAGGCTTTACAAAATAGTGTGATAACTTTCACATTAAAATGGAGCTTTACAGGATACAATTTACCGAGGATTTAGAGAGTCCCCGAAAATAAAGAAGACATCATAGAAACATGCCTGGGTCAGAAGGCTTTTCATATCTGTGGAAATAAAATGAATACTCTTTAGGCCCAGAGTTAACTCTTGCATTCAGTAGCTTTATATTTAGCTCATAAAAACCTCAAACCCTCAATGGATAATAAACTTGAATGGATTCTACATAGATATGTTTAATTTGAAATGCAACACAATCTCCCAAGATTTTAATCTGTTGTTTTCTTTTAATGGATAGGGAGAATAGGTGCCTATAATTGCACCAGGAGCTGGCTATGGTTGAATCCAGAGTTTCTGATTCACCAGGCAGTGAATAATGTCATATAATAATGTAGAGAAAGAACTCATGACCTCACACAATGCCTAGCTTACCCATTTGCATAGGGTGAATTTTCAGGGCTCTTCTCTGAATAAGATCAAATGTTATTTCCCAGAGCTGTCACATTATAGAATTTTTTTGCATGGATTTATTGCTTACTGGCCATGTTATTTCAAGGCACAGCATTTCCATTTACTGTGACAAAGAAATCATGGGTTGATTATTACTTGGTAGTCATTGTTCACAGTCCTCTCGTGGAGTAGAAAGGGAATGTATATGTATTAGAATTTCCACCTAGTGACCTGAAGACTCAAGGCAAAGGGCAGCCTCCAAAGTGACTGAGAGTAGATCACGTTTTTAGAGAAACCATCCTAACCGACAACTGAAGACAATTAGTCATTAACAGACAGAGCTTATGAAAACCTAAAGCATTTTGAGCCCTTGCATTACATAATTTAAAAGTCATTTTAAGTGTTGGAAAGGCAGCTTAAAATTCCCAATACTATGCACAGATCAGGATGGACTTGTCTCTCTAATATGGGTATCTTTGCTCCTTTGGTAATTTCAGCAGAAAGGAAAATTCACACATAAATGATAGTCTTTCAATCACTGTATATGATCACTTTAAAAGTAGAACTCTATTTATATTGTATATTTCTCATTTTGACAGACAGGAGCCTAAGCATTTCTAGAAATATGGATGACCAGATGGATTATGTTTTTTAATGCATATGCATATACAAATATATACATTAGCCTGCTCATTTTTGCTACCTTATATCCATGTACAGTAAAGATATTCAAGGAGGTAAAATTTGCCACCGGGGAAGGTTAGTGTAAGAAAGTTTACATTATATTATTGCATTATATTATATTATTCCATTTCTTCCCATTTTCTAAAGGGTAGATCTTCAATTCCCTATAAATTAAATAGGGAAAAAAACCACAATATACATAAATAATTCATTGCCTATACCTCAACCAAAGAGATTCAGGGCTTATCACTCTATCATTAGGGCTGTTAATCTGCTCCCGCCACCCCCCACTAAAGGACTATCTGCTTTCCTTTATTGGATCTCATTGTCAATTTGGAACTACATTGAAACTGTTTACAAATTTCTATCTGAAGATCCAGTCTCTTTGTCTTGGGCCATTGGGAGTAGAAGGTTGTAGGGAGGACTGAGTTGTCACTCCCAGAGGAACCACGTGAGCATGTCCCACTTAAGTAACAGGGTGCCCCTCAGGTCAGCCTGTGATAAAACCCAAGTCAAACAAGGCTGAATCCTGGATGTTTTATGTCCTAAGGATCTGAAAAGTGTTCATGGCCAGCCCTGACCCTCAAGACCTCAAACGATCATCTAAGCAGTCACATAAATTGGTGTAAACTTGCTCTTGGGCCATTGCTGTGGAATCCTGGCTGGTGAAAATACAGCCTTTCCATTGGAGGAACTAATGTCTTTCTAGGCACTAAAAATAAGGGGGAATGTGTTGATTACTCCGACAGGCAATCCAACTGTGGTGGCTAAATGCCCAAGGCTGACAAATTCTGTATCTTATCACTGCCGTCAAGGGGAGGTGCATGTGAATACTGTCAGCCCCAAAGAATTGAGAAACAACGTGCCTTCCAAAACTGCAACTCAACAAAATCTTGACAATGCCAACAGCTCTTCATCTCGTGTTTTTCAACCCTCCAGAAAATGGCCTTCCAGCCTGGGACAAACCAAAGCACTGTCCAGACCGAGAACACGACTGGAAGCTAGTAGGAATGTCTGAAGCCTGCCTCCATAGGAAGAGCCATGCGGAGAGGCGCAACTCATTGAAAAATGAACAGCCGTCACCACATCTCATCCAGACCACTTGGACTAGCTCGATATTCCATCTGGACCATGACGATGTGAACGATCAGAGTGTCCCAAGTGCCCAGACCTTCCAAACAGAAGAAAAGAAATGTAAAGGTAACCCAATTTTTATTAGACCATAATATCATGTTTCCACAAGTGAAAAAGAGCTCTGTTGTCACTGTGTGCTCAGCTCCATTTATTCCAATGTATGGTATCCATGTGTTTTCCCCAACTGTTCTGTTGCAAGGTTTCTTTATCCCCCATCCTCTTTTAAACATAAATAAATGAGTCCCAAAGGAAAGCAGTTAATTTCAGTTGCATGTTGCGTTGGACACTTGGGGAAAAGACATTTTTATTTCTCTAATTAGCAGAAGGGTTGTTAGTTTTGGCTTTAACTCTGTTTTTGCATCTGAGTAGAAACAGACATTGCTATCATTCTGTAGCTACTTGTGTGTGTGTGTGTGTGTGTGTGTGTGTGTGTGTGTGTGTGTGTACATCTCCTTTCCCAATTGTGCCAGTAGCTAATGGGATTTCAAAGACTACCTTTAACCCAAATAGACAATTCACGCTCAAAAGAGAGGTTTTAAGTTGTTTTCTTTTACTCATTAAATCCTTGTGTCATCTTCCTGAAAGGCAAGATTATGGTGTTAGGAGGTTGTCACCTCATAAAAAAAGTGTTAAACTGGCCTAAGTTCCTGATTGCATTAGATTTAACTGGTCTTTACCTCAGGGTGCCTCACCCGACAGATGTCTTTGTGCTGATCGCGTTATTGTCTTAGGGCTCCCCAAAATGTTTGCTTTGTAAATTCATTGTATTTTTAAATGTCCACGTTCATGTGACTTTCCCTTGTTTTGCAATTTAGCATGGAGGGAAAATAAGGTCTTTTTGGTTCTTCTTGAAGGATTTTGACTCATGATAAAGTTTTAAATTGTGTATTTGGAAATCTGGCAATCACCCACCAAGATATATTAATGAAAGTTTGTAAAGCCTCCTACGTATGAGCCATGAGAGACTTTTGCATACTGTTCTAACTCAAACATAAGCACATGATTATATTTATCCTGTCAAAAAAGCGCTGTTTCTTTAACTTTTCTGAAAACACATCAAAAGCTCCTTGGAACTACCAGTTGACCCAAGAAGTTGAGTGTGTAGATCATTTCTGTTGAAAAGAGAATTATCTAAAAATAATAAAATAGTGGCATGAGCTTTGATTTGAGTGCAGTCAAAACTATACGTGTTCTTTTTGGGAAGATTTGTGTTTAAACTACCTCTCACCTTTAGTATTTGGGAGATTTGAGAAACTGAAAAGGATACTGAGAAAAAGAACAAAATAAGTTTGTTTAAAGAGTCAGCATATGAGACAAGTGTGTGTGTGTGTGTGTGTGTGCGTGTGTGTGTGTGTGCAGATTTCTTTGAGATATAATTGAGATTTAGTCTTAGAATTTGTAACCAGATTGTATCTTCAGATTTTATGAGCTGGCATCAAAACCATGTCAGTCCTTGGCTAACAGTGAAACACCAACATGAAACTGTAGTGTCCCCATGATCTAAGAAATTCACAAACTAAATTTGATTCATTCACAGCTGGCACCCATGTTCACTCATTCATTCGTTCATTCATTCATTCATTCATTCATAGGATCCATCTATGCCTCTATCACTTACAAGAAATCTTGGCCTTGGGTACTCAAACTTCCTAATACAGTGTACTTCTTTTGTTGTTATACCTTAAAAGCAAAAGGAAACAGTCTCTATTTGGATCCAAGACCCTAACTGTAGTGCAGTGGTTAAAACCACAGATTTGGGCTAGAATTCTAGCCCTTCCAGTCTGTCCTTGAGCAAACTTATATGATCATTGATGGAATTAAATAAGATAATGTATTTAAGCATGCATTTAATATAGTACCTCTCCTAAGGGCTCTCTAAACAGCAGCTATCATTATTACTGTGATCAGTATTATTAGCTATGCATCATTAAGTCACATAAATTCCTTGTGCTGCACTGTGTGCCTGGTAAGGAATGGAGAAGGAGAAGAAGCCAGGTGAGTATTGGCTAGGGCATGATGTTTCGGGGTGGATTCGAGTTGATAATCCATTTTGCATTCATTCAGTTCTCCTTTGCTAAAAGAGAACTGTTTAATAAGAAAATATAATTAAATTATTACATTAAAGTCCTTCCTCAAGATTCTCATATTAAAAGGAAAACAACTAGGGAAAACTCTCCGGTAGTTTCTAGAGTAACCAGCAGGGTTCATCTTGGCATGAACGTGAGGCAATGGCTTGGTTCAGCATGAAAATGCCACGGGAAAGCCTATGTTGTCATGGCCCATGAATTTGATAAACTAAATCTTACTCATTCACAATGGACACCTGTATTTAGTGAGGCACCAGGGAGGCCAGAGAAATAACCTGATTAGTCACTTTGTTCCTTTTGGAGTTGGTTCTTCTCCATCTTCTCTGCTTGTCTGCCACCTGCATAAAATCACCGTGTGGAGAGCTCTGTTTGGATGCCCCTTTACGCTGGGCATGTATTTCCTGGCTATCTCTGTGCAGCCCCCAGGCATGCTTGATATCTCAGTCCCGGCCTACCATTCCATGCATTCATCCCATCGGTGTTCATTAAGTGCATACCCTGTATAGGACATTACCCTTGATGTCTGAGCATGAAGCAATCGCATCGAGGCCAAAAGTACATCCAACTAGCCCCATTCCAAGGAGCCCAAATTGACTTGATAAGAACTAAATGGCCCTGAAGGATACAAAAAGTTAAGGATCTGCAGTACAAGAGCCAAAAGAACAGATTGCCTGCTAGAATTTCCACAGTAAGCCCATCGCTCAGGTCAGCCATACAGCTGGTGCAGATCAGTGCACCTCGACGTGTGGTTGGTGAGTGGGTACCCTCCTACAAATTGTTATTATTCCTCTCTATGGATGCAAATACAGAAACTAAGAGTGAGCTTTAGAAACTTTTATAGCAATGTGGCAAATTAGTGCTGACATTCAAATACATGATCAGTGGACTCACCTCACTGAACAGGGTCTGGACCAGTCAGGAATTGTCAAACTCGCCTGGTGAGTCATGCATGGCTAGAGCTAGGTAAAAGTCTTGTGCAAAAGAACCGTGTGCTGCACTATAATGGACCAGATATACTTTTAAATGGTCCTTCAGTTCAAATAATTTGAGAATCACTGATCCGTGCATTATAGAATTCTTGATGTTTTTTTCTTTTGGCTTATTTTTGGTACATAGTTAATGTTTTGGTTTTCAGTTTGGGTCTGAATACTGCTTTCATTTTAATCTGCATATAACTGCACTTCTCTCTGCTACAGTCACTCTAAGGAAATTAACTGGTAACACATTTAACTGGAATGAGAGCTCTGGAGACTTAACATTCTGCCACAGCCCACAGTTCCAATCTGCTTGAGTACCAGAGGCAAGTGACCCAACCAGCAGCAAGTGACCCAAGCCACCCTTCTATCTCCACACTACACCTTCCCTGGAATCTTTGTCACAGTTTGAACTGATTGCTCAGCCACGAGGACCACATCCTACTGCTCCCCACCTCCTTCTCTCCCAGAGTCTTGAGATGATATATTTATTTGGTGGTGCTCAAAGTGCACCCACCAGTGGCACTAGCGGCATCGGGAACTTGTTAGAAATGCCGAATCTGGGGCTGCACCCCAGACCGCTGAATTGGAAGCTTTGGAAAGGGGCCAAGAATCTGTGTTTTTTAACCAGCCCTCTGCGTGATTCTTAAAAACCTGAATATCAGAAAATGCTTGCGAATACAGACACTTCAGCTCTTAGTATAAGAAAGGGCCTGCCACCTAGTGGACACTCAGGGAATGTGCATTTTTCTTCCCCTCCCTGACTGCACCTGGAGAGCCACCTAAGTCCCCGTTCTTAACTGGGCTTCCTTAGGCCCGGTTTATCTTACTTGCCAAATGGATGTTCTGTTTTAATCACTCTGCCTGCTAACACATCCCTCTGGGACTTGAGCCTTTCAGAGAATCCCAGTCTGTTTGGCTGGGGCCCTGATCCTCTTCTAAGTACTTACGAGGCTCCTTCATGCAGACCTCTCATGACTTCCTGAACTTCTCTTCAGAACCCCAAGGTCCCACCAGTTCCACAAGGATGGGTCCTAGTTAGATGCAGGCACCCCTGTAGCTGGATCTAGCAGGGTCTGGACCCAAACAGTCAGACCTCTGTACTTAGATGTTTGTGCTCAATGTCAATCAGGTACCTTCTTGGTACCCTGGAACCCAGAGTAGGAGAAAAAAGGCAGGGACTGACCCACCTCCCTGACTGCATCAGAAAAAGGTGGGCAGCAATCCAGTGAGCTCACAGAATTTTCTCTGTTGGTCAGTTCTGTGTTTAATATCAAGAGAACTGAGTCTTAGATCCGAGGAAGGCAAGGAGAAAAAAAAAAGTCAAAATAATTTTACTAACAAGTTATTTTCTCTCATTATAAAAGCCTTCCATGTTCATGTACAAAACTGAGAATTTCCCAGAAGTTCAACAAAAATAATTTTTAGAAATCATTTGTATTTCCATCCTCCAAAGACAAGCAGTGTTAAAATCTTTATTATATTTGTCTTTTTTCTGTGCATATCTGTTTTTTACAAACTTGGAATCACACGAGACATAACATTTTTTAACCAGCTTTTAATGCTTAACGACGTATCATGAACATTTTCCTTTCTCATTAAGTATTCTTTTGAATTCTGACTTTTATTGGCTATAAATTATCCTTGCTTATAGATATACCGTAATTTATTAAGCCAGTCCCCAAGATTTAGACAAGTTAAAGTAATTTTTAAAACAGTATCTTATGTCAGCAAAGGGGCAGACTATTAACTCATGCTCTTCATAAGGAGGAAAAAAATTAATCAAATCAATGATGACAATTTTAAATGATATATAATTCTCATTTACCAAAATAACAAAGTGTTCCAAAAATGACAGATGTAAAGCCAAGTCATTGTGTGCATTATAATCCTTCAAGTTAGACATTCACATTTTCAGCGGGTGATCGCTATCTTTGTCCTTAAGTAAAATACAAGGACATCTTCAGGTAAAGGAGTATTTTAGAAGGTGGGGGATTAAAAAGCT